AGGATGGTTAGGCCAATGCGGGCTGCCATTTCAAGGACCCCTGGTGTTTGTTTGGGGCCTACCCCATTCCACGCCTCTTGCGTTGAAATCTCCAGCAACAATTATGTGGCCGGTTATATCGCGCAATTCGTCTTCAAGGTCTTCGAGCTTTTCCCTGAAGACCGGGACTGTGTCGTTTGGAGACAGGTAGCAGCTCACCAGAGTGATTTGCGCCATTTTAACCCAGACGTAGCAGCGTCCGACCCCGCTGCTCTCTGCGCGATCGTTGGGGTTAGCAATCCATATCGCGGCCGAGCCTGATTGGTCAACATGCCAGATTTCCTTTGTTCTATAGGGTTCATTGATGATGACAACGTCTGCTCTTTGTTCAAGAACCAATTCGTCCAGCAGGTCATCAGCTACCCTACTCCTGTTCATATTGCCTTGTATAAATGTAATCATATTCTCCCAAGCTTTGTCTTAGCCTCAGCAAGGGCATCCCTGAAGGCCTTGCACGCTCCCGACCCGGGCAGGTGATTGGCATTTTTCTGTCCATCTCCTGCCGAGCACAGGTAGCAGCTTGGGCTTTCTTTACATGCAGAGGCTATGTGGCCCTTCTGACCGCATTTCCAGCATGAACTGCTTCTGTCTGGGCCTTTTCATGCCGCCTTTTTGTGGCCATACCCCAGACAGCGGAAACACCTTTGGACATCCGCGCGCTCTCGGACGCGGCAGATAATCCAACCTACTCGCAGCTTCCCCTTTTCAATAAGAGTCCGGCCTGGCAGTTCGTCGATTTCCACCACAGCCATTCTTTGTTCTCGCGAGTTTACAGCGAGGAGAGAGATGCGAAGTTGGCCATTCATCTTGTCTCCTAACTCCCCGCGTATAGCGTTCTCCACTTCTGGGGCCGTGGTTATATAATAATAATATTATTATTATTAGTATTATTATTATTATTATTTTTATTATTATTATTATTATATAGGGTTGCCAACATTTTCTAAGAAATTTATATTACTTTTTCAAAAAAATATAGTACACTTCAAATATATATAGTATTTTTTTTTAATGAAAAAGTAAAAATGCTTTTTAAGTGTACATTTTTTTATTTCTTATACAATTTCTTTATAAAAAGCGAAATTATTTTAAGTAAATTTTGTAAATCTTTCTAAGGGTCAAATTCACAGTGCGTAGTTAACTCAGAATCGACAGTTAACTACAGATTTTTGTACTGAAAACTGCCGATTCTGAGTTAACTACGCACTGCGAATTTGGCCCTAAGTATTTTTAAAAACGTTGCAATTTTTGATCTGTGAACCCTTTGTTTTAAGGTATTATTCTTTTAATATTGTTATTTTAGTATAAATGTCATCATATAGTATTTTTGCATACTATATTTTTTCCAATAGTATATAGTACGCAGACCCAAAAAATAGTGCAATACTATATTTTATAGTACGGTTGGCACCCCTAGGTGTATAAGTTAAACGGAACTCATATTCATCATAGGTGGGTCTGGTTAAAGCACACAGAATATGTATACAATAGCTATTATTCTGACTTTTTTTACCTGGAAATCTTATTTTAAGTATAAAAACCAGAAAAAATAAATGTGTTTAGCGCTGTCAAATGCCGTTTTCTGGATTAAAATAAATGGTAGGAAAGAAGCCATTTTGGTAGGTTTTGGAACCAGTTCTTGGTGGAAAGAAAGTTTATCAGTGATAACCCTGGTCGTAAACTCTGTCACAATTTACAGGGTGTTTTGTTTCAGGTGTATTTTCTGTGTCGTACCATGTAAAGGCAGCCTAGAACAGCGTTGGCAGCATGATTCAATAATACAAGGTTATATAATTATTGACAGCCGCGGTTTGACATTCCCTTACAAAATGTTGCATTTACGAAGGACAGAGGAAGGAGAAGAATGCAATCCCTTTTTGCGAAAACGGTAGTAGAACAGTACGCAAAGTAGGCAATTAGTAGTGAAATTCCTTTTTAAGTTCTAATCTATTTGCAGGAAATCTGGCATTTTAAACGAAATATTGAACGAAGTATTCATATATCTACTCGAACTACGTAATTTATGTGCTAGAGATTTATGTAAATGTGCTTCATATGCATATACAAATAAACATATTGCCCAAAAGCTTATACTTCTATTTCGCAGCAAAGCTACACTTTTTCCAAGTAAATTTGCAAAGAAGCAACACGGTGTCACTGCTAAGGGAGCGGTGCGAGAGAGATAACTGTCAGTTCATCGAACCTTGTATTATTGAATCATGCGTTGACAAAAGAGCAGTTTTTCCCGTTTTGCGGGAATTTTAAATAAAAAGGGAATAGTGGGAACAATGGTCGTGTAAGCGCGGAAAATCACATAATAATACTATTAGGCTAAAATAGTGTGCGATACATTCATGGGAAAGCTGTATGGAATTTAAAGTTTAGTTACTCCAATCAAACTCGAGCATATTGCACAATATGTGCAGCAAGCCATCTTCCTAACACAAAAGCATGTGCACAAATATAAATAAATCCATGATAACTAGCTAAAACTGCAGAGATATGCGTTTGCAGTGGAGCCCAATATTGCATTTTCAGCATTTGATCACTTATCAGTGATGATAACGCATAAGTAGATGCAATATATGTTTTACATGTAAATTAAATTGTTATTGATATTGACTGAGTTGTTAAAATACGGTTATTGATCGTGTAAAAAGTAAAACACGGAGAAAATTTGCCATATTTAAAAACTAAACTAAAAACTAAAAACTAAACTAAAATGAAAAACGGGAAAAATATATAGAATTGCATGGACAAAAAGGGAATAGACTCGGACAAAACCTGGCAACACTGGCCTAGAATCCAATACAGAATCATTCTTGCCAACAAGTGCTACTTCACACTAAATCTTAACACTATCAATATCCGATATGTTTACCATGCGAAATAAAATGAACTGCCGATTTTTAGTTTAAAATAATTTCAGTTGCAAATCCGAAGTTAACTGCAGACGTGGGCCTTTGGTTAAAATTCATTGCGCTCTGTACTCATGCACACAAGAATTTATACAACAAAGTGAAGTCCATACGTGGTTTCTTTTTAATAAATAATTAAAACACAATTAAGTAAAACAAATTTTTTCGGTATATTATAGGCTTAGAGCAAATATTTCCACTATTAATGAAGCACGATTTTATTCATGTGGCTGCCTCGAAGATTGATTTTGGCATGGCGCTTCATTCTGCTGAAACCAAATAACGTCCAAGTCCATGTCTTCAATTCCCGGGCACAAAAAATCGTTTATCATGCCCTATGGACTAAATAAGTAGCGCTCACCGTTGACCCAAATAATATTTTGAAACAAAAGTGTGTTAATGATGCCACCGCTCCAAACTCCGCACCAAACTATCACTCTCTGAGCATGCATTCGCTTTTCGACGATCACGTGCGGGTTTTCTGATCCTCAGATGCGGAATTTTTATACCCGAGCGCAAGGGTATTATAACTTTGTTCACATAACGGTTGTTTGTAACAGGCAAAACGAAACGAGATAGATATAGACAAATGTATACATAAATAAATGATCAGGATGAAAAGAGAAAACGATTAAGCGGTGACTGTCTGTCCGTCCGTCCGTCCGTCCGTCTGTGCACACGATAACTCGAGTAAAAATTAAGATATCTTAACGAAACTTGGTACGTGTACTTCCTTTGGGCGTAGGACGGATGGTATTGAAAATGGGCGAAATCGGACAATAACCACGCCTACCTCCCATATAACGGTAATTTTCAGAAATACGAAAACTGCGATATTTTAGTAAATACTGAAGATTATTCACTCAAAATTGATATTTACAATAATTCTTAGATGAAAAATAAGAATATTATAAATTTTTGAAAAATAGGCGTAGCCACGCCCACTTATGGTTACATGTGTATATCTTGGTAACCGATGCAATTCCAAACTTGGCACAGCATACTAAATGCCCGAAAATTTAAAAAATCGGACAATAACCGCGCCCACATCCCATATAACGGTAATTTAGAGAAATACAAAATCTTCGATAAATCAGTAAATATTAAAGCTAATTTATTCAAAATTGACGCTTGCAACAATTCTTCACCAGGAAATACGTTTATGATACAATTTTGGAAAATGGGCGTGGCACCGCCCACTTATGATCACATATATGTATCTCGGTAACCGTTCTACCAATTTGTACCAAACTTGGCATGGTTATTGTGCTTGCCACACAAAAGCAAAACATTCAAAATTTGTGAAATCGGACTAAAATTACGGCTTTTTATATAACGGTAAATTTTAGAAAAACTTGAAACTTCAATATTTCGAAATTTAAGGACGCTAATTTACTCAAAATTGATACACCCCGGCTTACCATGTAACGGTAGCTTACGGAAAAGTGAAAAACATATATTTAATATTTGCGCCGGGTATTTAATGTTCGGCTCCGCTCGAACTTACTTGTTCCTTGTTAAAATGGACGCCGAAAAGAAAATGCGCTTTGTCAGAAAAGATGATGTTTCGACTTTTTCAATGAACACATTGTTTAGGTTACACAACATTGACTTTGGAAATAAGTTTGCATTGGGCACGTGCAGAAGGTGCAACAGCTCAGTAACTGTTGCGATTGCACTTCTGAATGCGTTGTTTTATACTTCTGATCAACTGAACAGTTGTGTGTTAGATGGTCGTAAAATTTTTCTGATCATTTGAGACAACATGTTGTGTGTTTTGAATTTGACAGATAATGTATCAAGCCGTTCAGAAGACGCATTCCTATCACTGATTTTTTAGCAACGGTTGCGCTCAATTGCTGCGCCTTCTGAACCTACCTATTATTTCCTAACGTTGTTCCAACCTAAAGCGTGTAATTTCGTTACTCGGAGATAAGATACTGAATTTCTGTTAAATTTCCAGTGGGAATGAACTGTCACAGTCAAAATAACATATCCTGTATATTCTTTAAATAAATAAATTTGCGTTTTATAATACACTTTCATGAAATTCATTGTCTTTGTTCTTAGGCGGTGGAGAGGAGGGGTGAAATGATTGTTCGTATTCTGGAGCCGAGATGCATTGGTGGTAAACAAGCCGTGGAAGCAGCTCATAAACTAATGTCTAAAGGAGATGCTCGACACACAGTTCAGGTAAGTTGGACGGCTAGAAGAGGTCTGCAACCATGATGCAGCAAAACAAAGGTGGCGTCTTCCGCGGACCGCTAATCCTCTCTTTATCGATTTGAATTCATCCACCTTTCCGCTGACGTCACAATATATTTTTTTGCACTAGTGATGTATACTAAATTTTAATATTGTACCCATTTGCCGAAAAGTTGTACCCAGAACTAGATAAACGTACCTAAAAAGTAGATATGTCTTTTTTTATGCATACTTTTTCGAAAGTTGGTGGACAACCCCTTCATACCATATCTACTTTTGGGCTTACATCAAACATTCTATTCTATTGAATTGGCCTTGAAAGGAATTTTTCCGGGCAATTGTAGGCAAAGCTATGTTTTAACCAATGTTTATGCCCCTTTACAAAGGGGGAAGGCTATTAAAATTCCTACACTGAAAGGAAAACGCGTGGAGATGCATTGGAAAATAAGAGACAATTTGCAGATAAATTATTTGGCTACGTTGCAAATGACGCTAAAATAATGTGCCTATACCGAATGTATAAGTGGCTGAAGAGTATTTGCAATTCTACTTAGTTTTACATCACTAATTCGCACCACATGTTCGCTACCTCCTCTTCTTCTTCAAAATTATTCTTAGGGCCAGTTTTTCAGTAACTAAGTTTAAATGCCCGATATGACTGGTTTAAACTAAGGTTGGCCAATCAAATATCAGCCAGCTGTTCAATTTAAACTCAGTTTACTTAATTCAAGTTTAAACTGGCACTGAAAAACTAGCCCTAATTCTCTCATTCTCTCAATATTGTGAGATCTTACCCAGTTGCTCTCAGCTCGATTGGCGTAATCTTGCATTCTATCATTCTTGGACTGCAACCATATTCAATTCTATTGAATGTTGTTGGCTATTTCGCTTATATTTACAGCTTGTTGAAATAGTTAAGCGTCCTGGTCAAACTTTGGGCTTATACATACGCGAGGGCAATGGAGCTGACCGTACCGATGGTGTTTTTATCTCGAGAATAGCTCTGGAGTCTGCGGTTTATAACAGCGGTTGTTTGAGGGTTCGTAGCCATTAAGTGATGTTAATCAAAATATTGCAATCTAAAACATTATTTTTCTAGGTGGGTGATGAAATCCTGGCCGTTAATTTGGTTGACGTAACTCACATGTCATTGGATGATGTCGTAATTATTATGTCAATTCCTCGGCGTTTGGTGTTGGCGATACGTCAAAGACGCGACAGCCGTAGTGCAGGCTCACCTGGGCCGCCAACGTTATCGCGGCCCGAACAGAAACCACCGCCAGTCGTCGTAATTAAACGTGATCTCAGAGATGAAGACTTAGATGAGACAGATCGCATGCCAAGATCCCGATCATCACGCGAAAGACGTACAGGTATTTCGAAATCATGACTGGTAATATTTTACTGACGTTGCCTTCTCTGTTTTCTTATGTTCCAGGAGATGGTAGAGAAATGACCGAGTCCCGCTCTCGTCTTGGTTTGGGTCTTAATAACTACAGCCCACAATCCGAGCAATTAGACATGTATTACAATACACGTTCTGGCGTTAGCGCGATGAACGAGCCACCCAGCTGGGGTTATAAACCACCGCCACCACCATCAGTTATCACGGAACAGCCTAAAGGTCATGCTTTTGCTCCGTCGCATGCATATTATCAAAATGCTGGTACACTCGAGAGTTTAGCCGAAAAGGTACATGCATTTTACCCGAGTGGGCCATCTAGACGGATGTCGACAGGTACCGGCGTTGGCTTGGCGCAGCAACATGCGCGCTTCCCGCGCTCTGGATCAGATCAACATTTACCGCGTGTGGAATATACTGATTATTCAAATTCCTTGGGTCGACATTCCTTGTTGCGCTCCAGCTTGAAGCCAGGAACCGGCGCGGCACCTATAGCAGTGGGGGGCACTCTGGGGCGTTATGGTCGCTATGAACCACCACGCCAATCTTCGAAGTATGCTCCGCCAAATATAGGCGCTCAATCGCTTAGTCGTCGCTCGCGGCCGAATCTTGATTATTCTAGCGACACAGAAGCAACCATAGGGCCAAGGCCAAGTTATTACTACTACAACCGACCTGCTGTAGGCAGCATGCCACGCGGAACTAGCGCAGCGGGTGTTGGTGGTGCCGGTATACTCGGAGGTGGGCCAGATATGGCGAAATTTAATTCACTGCCACGTGAAAGACCGGGCGTACGTCTACAAGGTATACGGTCACGCATCGGTGATCGCATTATGGATGAGAGTGACGGCAACATATCGGCACCGGAATTCAATGCTCGCCGCGACCGTGATCTGAGGTCACGAATAACGGCGAGTCCTTCAATTTTCACTTCGGACGAGTACCGAGCATGGTTGAGGAGAGCACCAAGTAGTTCAGCTATAGCGGAGCAAATGCGTATGACGCGAGATCTGCTAAGCCAACCCCGATCACATAGATTTTCATGCAGCGCTGAAAATATACACGATGCTCTGAAAAACGTAAGTCGTCTTAATAGAGTACAACAAAAATATGTTTACTAAATTTGTATTCTTCGATATATTTTCCAATAGACCGAAAGCATTTACTCCAGTCGAACGGGTTTACTTGGAACTGGTACACTGGACCGGCATCTCGGCATTCCGCGACCCATTTCAGCATTACCAGTGCGCTCGATGTCATCACAGCATATTGGTGGTCCGTCATCGATACGTTCGCCAAGCATACGGCGCATGCGGCAACTACTCGAACTCTCTGCAGGTCCGGCTAGCCCAAGTGGTAGCATAATGAGCACCGGCGGCCATCAGAGTCCCGCGCCGACGCCCAGTGCCACACTTCCCAGAACGCACAGACAAATTGATATTAATCCAGCGGAGTTTGCCAAGTACAAACTCGACAAACCGATAGTCGATATTGGTGGTATATCGGGCATGTTGTGGATCCACTTGCTTGCGGGCCGTGGCTTACGTTCAGCACCCGAACTAGGCGCACAGCACGTTGGGGGCCCACATCATGCAGCGCAATCCCAGACCCGTGATTTATATTGTGTAATCGAGTGTGATCGTGTACACAAAGCACGGACAGTGGTGCGATCCGGTGATCTCCAATTCGACTGGGACGAGTCTTTCGAGTTGGACTTGGTGGGCAATAAGCAGCTAGATGTATTGGTATACTCATGGGATCCACAACATCGCCACAAGCTATGCTACCGCGGTGCGATATCGCTGTCTATTCTGCGACAATCACCGCTACATCAGTTGGCGCTGAAAGTGGAACCACGTGGAACCATTTACATACGCATGCGCCATACCGATCCAATCACCTTGTATCGACGGCGTGGACTGCCTAGCTTAAGGGCCGGATATCCCATATTGTTTGGCGCGGATTTGGAGACGGTGGTGAATCGCGAGTCTAAAGGGGCACCTGGCAGTGCACCAGTGCCAATTGTTTTGCGACGCTGCGTAGAAGAGGTGGAGCGACGTGGGCTGGATATAATTGGATTATACCGTTTGTGTGGTTCAGCAACAAAAAAGCGTCTACTTCGGGAAGCTTTCGAGCGAAATAGTCGCGCTGTGGAATTGAGCCCTGAACATGTTCCTGATATTAATGTTATTACCGGTGTTTTGAAGGACTACCTAAGGGAATTGCCAGAGCCGCTGTTTACGCGATGTCTATTCCAAATGACCGTCGATGCTTTGGGTTAGTTTTAAGCAGGAGATTAAACCTATTTCCGCATTACAAATATTGTCTTTTTTTCAGCCGTTTGTCTGCCGGACGATCCCGAGGGTAATGCAAAACTAATGCTCAGCATACTAGATTGCTTGCCTAGGGCAAATAGGGTAAAATACGCAATAAACTTATAGTTTTTATTTGGATTCTTTATATTCATACTTGTGCATATATTTTTAGGCGACCTTAGTATTCCTTCTCGATCACTTGTCTCTCGTTGTATCCAATTCTGAACGCAATAAGATGTCAGCTCAAGCATTGGCTACCGTTATGGGTCCTCCACTGATGCTTCATGCCGCTAACGCTCAACCCGGATCGGAAATCGACCACGCCCAACCAATTGCCGTGCTGAAATATCTCCTGCAGATTTGGCCGCAACCGCAAGCGCAGCATCACCAGGCGCCTAGTGGCGGCATCGGCAGTGCGGCTAGCATGATGGGCAGCATGGTCGGTGCAGGAGGTGCTTTAACGGGCGCGGGCAGCATGAGCAACATGGCTGGAGCTGTTTCAGGTAACGTAATTACATTACGTCTTTAAGGTTACAACTCCTATCATGCTGTTTAGTTTTGACTCATCAGCGCTTTACTCTGAGAGCAAATACCTAGAGGCACTGATTCGAAAAAACTCACATTCGTAATAAATGTATTAAGAAACGGAGTACCTTGGGATACATGTTTTTTTTTTTATTAAAAAGCTTGCATTCATAAGTTTCGATAAACCACTTCATTGCGCAAGCAAGCAAACTCCACCTCATTTTTACCGAAATTTCAACTTTCGAGATTCCTAAACGCAAATTTACACATATTTTTACGCTTCTTCAACATCCACACTTTTAGCTAATTTATCGTTCGACATACGTTCTAAATGAATTTTTTCTCATTCTTAATTACAAATGCTGTAAGTGAAAGTTTCTTAAATGTGTGCATAAATAAATAGCAAAATTGGGATATGACTAATCCGCTTTTACAATTGACGCTACGTTCAAACTAATATTGATTAATACAGAGTCCTATGTAGACAGGTCGGCGCGGCGAGTCAACAGGGCAGCGTGGAAGCAAAGTCAGTGCGTTGCAAGCGGACAGACAACTTCTACTGCAGCAGCAGCAGCAGCTCATGGCGGCGGGCAATCTACTACGCTCGTCCACTTCGGTAACCAACATACTCTCACAAGGCCATCATCAGCTCTCAGCCACAGTCAACAGTCATCTGTATCAATCAGTAGTGGGTCAGTTAGCTCAATCGCCTCGAGCCTTGCAACAAGCGGTGCAACAGGTAAAAATTACACAATAACAACAAGTACGAAAACCATAACAGATAACAACAAGTACAACAGTAACAACAATACCACAAAGAACCAATTGACAAGAAACCATGAAGTAAAAAACGGCAAAATATACTAATGTGTTTGATAGAGAATTAGCCTGAGCTTTTGTAAGCATCCGCCAATTTTTTTAAACCTGATATTAGGTTTTGTTTGTAAATCTAAACAACCCAGCAAAAACACGATTATCACAGAAACGAGCTAGGCGATGGGGATCGCTTACCCTTTCGCTTCAAAATGTCACTATTTTAACATGGGTATGTCATTGGCCGTAAGCCCTTACCCGCAACATTACCTTCGAACGAAGGGAGAACGCATGGATAAACAGATTCCAGAGAAGAGAACAAAAAATACCTTACAGAGAAACTAATGTAGAATGCCTAGATTACTACTTATTTATATTAAATTGTGATTAACGCAGTGAGAGGGGAGACCAGTGTGTTTGCATGTATGTGTATAAAAAAATATTTATTGGACCAAAACGTAGTGGGTAGGCACTGTGGCCAATGGTAATCAACTATTACCACCACCGCATGGTTGTAAGCCATGCAGAGTCCGCAGAATGCTCCGGAAGCAGTGTCCGGAGGATGCATCCGACTAGGCAGAGCATACTTTGAACTGCCATCAAATTATAACTTAAGAAAGTTTTATTACATGGCAGTTGAGAAGTGCATGTACATAAATTTCATTAATTTAATGAAGGAAATTTTTGCACATGCAGCAGTACTTAGCATGCATTTAGGCGCCTGGTGTTAGCAGTCGCGTCTAAACATACCGGTCCCCCTAGACGATTTGGTCGTCTAGTAGATGTAAAATAAGCCGCAAATATCCGGCTCGAAGGACTATGAACTTGCACGGGGGCCCGTATCGGGAATAACGCTCCGGTGCAGGTGCTAGTGGATGGAAATAAAAAAACCAAAGCGAAATATTTGTTTTTTAGTATTTGTTTAATTTAAATATTCAGAGTCAGTTTTCAATAAATATTGGTACAAATAACAATGGTGTTACCTTAGTGACAGTGGCCTGGTCTGCTCGCGTTGATCTTCTGAACCGAAGTGATCTTAAGGATTTGCGGGATTTTAAATCGGACCGCCGGACAACAACCGATATTGAGAAGAAACTTAACGATAGGTTATTATCCGGCGGGAAACTTCAGTTAACGGCGCGAGCTAATCATAATTGGTGTGCATATGTATATGTGTGTGCATACGCCTATATGCCAACACTAGGGCGGGTCACAAAAGAATGAAAATCTCTAGGCTGACGGCCTAAACAAATTGAAATCAGAAAATTTCTTAAAAGATTAAAATTAATTAAAATTTTTATAAATCAGTTTTTATACATAAATATGTATGTATTTAGGTATATAGATTTTATTTAAAAATCGGAAGGTACATACATGCAGTGTTGCCAGAACTTTTTGGACGAACCGGCTAAATTGGCAAATAAAACCGGCTAAAAACGGCTTAAATGTTTCAAATTAATTTCACATGTTTTATTTAACTAAATCACGGGTAAAAACACTATTTCTTGGAGAGAAGTTACAAATTCGAGCCGGAAAAAAATTTGCCAACAAGAATTTTCAATTAGGAAAAACATATGATTGTGGCACATGGTTGGATTTTTTGTCGACGATAATTTGAATAAACAAGTCGTTAAATTTCTTTTGTTTGAAATGCAACCGTGGACACTAGCTGGCAGAAAAACTTACAAATTTACGTTCGTACAGAAATTTGCAAGTTTCTCTACATGAGAGAGAATTTGGGAGCATTTTTTCTTACTATCTGATATCTTGAGTAATAATTCTCGCTAGATTTTCGACGAACAAACCTATTGTCTTCCCTAGAAGGCCTTTTCAGACAGACCGATTCTCAATACACTCAAATAGAAACCAGTACACATAAAAGACGCTGTAAAAATTTTCCTTCAATTTTAAGCCAGTAAAACAACGACCTTAAGTTAACATCAACCGAGGCCATATGTTGACAAGGGATGCAAAATCACAGTTACACAAAAGAACTGGTCAGATCTTTCAGAAATCCCTACAATTCTGATGTAAAATATGAAGCCAAAAGACTGCAGATCACCCATTTAGATGACCGGTCATATGACCGGCAGATATCTCGTAGGATTCCCAGAGAGTTTTGCTTTACATAGAAATTTGTGCTCTTTTATTTTCATTTTGACTCACTTCAGTGTTGGTTCCTTTAATTCAAGTTGGCATTCGGTTTTTGGAATTTGAATAAGTCCTCAGCAAAAAAGTTTGTTTAAAAAAATACATATGTGTACATAGTGCTTGAAAATATCAATTTTTCCCTTATCTTAAACCTTTGGGAGTGGGCAAAAATGATGTTTTGTAATTTAGGCAGAATTGAATATGCGCTATTTGGGAAGACAATATCTACATGTAATATTTATTCTGCTTATTGGCACTATATCCAAACACAAACGCATCTTAAGTGTCTTAACAGTGAAACAATTTCTTATTTTCTAAGTTTGCGAATAAAACTTCACACTTAAAATTAAGACATTTATAACAAACATTTTATGAAGAAAATCCCTTTTTCGTTTAAAATAAAAATAAGAGAAATCAGCCCAATTTCATACAACCCTGCCTGAGATGAAAATTTTCTCCACGATAGGGCTAGTAGCCATTTCAAACAGATTTTGGGTCGCTTAGTCAAAAATGGAAACATATATACATCTTTAAAATTTAAGAAAACAAGGCAAATAGCAAAATCGGCTAAAAACGGCTAAGTTTTTTCTGCAAAATGGCTAACAAATCGGCTGCCGGCTAAATCGGAATTTCTCAGGCCGTTTGCTATCGCAACCGGCTAAATCTAGCCGGAAAACGGCTGAAATGGCAACACTGCATACATGCATATTTAGTTAAGCTTAAAATTGTACTTCCTCACTCCTGTATTTCACTTAATTGACTGACTGTATTTCACTTAATTGACTGATTTTTGGATATTCATTCTACATATCTTTCAGCTGATTACGATGCAGCATTCTACTATAAATTTTATAGGACATTCTACTTTGCATTCCCCCAAAATGAAACAAAGAAGCGTAATAAATAAAATATTGTAGGACATTCTACTTTGCATGGTGGGTGGGAGGTGCTACGACTTCTTGCAAACTCTCATCCGTTTAGAGATTGTAGCAAGACATTCCGTTTAGCTGTCTGCTCGTTATGTTATAGTTCGCTGAATGCACTACTTCTATTGGAGATGCAACGGCCCTGGTAATACTCACTATCTTTCAGTTTACTATAAACGCCACGCCCTTTTGTATAAACTCATAGTCAAAGTGAGTTAGAGGTCCGAAGATATAGCAAATATAAAATTCCACGGCTAAGGAATGTGCCACGCCGCCTTGTACAAACTCATTTATATTTACTATATTATTTATATTTACTTTAGCGATGCCAAAAACGCTCGAATTACAATTTTAGCTATATGAGCAGTCAAAAATAGTTCATCGAACATTGAACATTAAAACCCCTTATTACTTGGAAGGATTTACAAATTTGGAAAAGGGCAGGACAAAATATATATCGAACTAAAAAGAAATAAAATGATTTTTGCTAAAAAATGTATCTTTCACAAAAAAATCTACCTGCTTTTCAAATTGCCCTGGAAGTCAAGCAATCTATGGATGAGTGCAACAAGAACGGAAATAAGGTTTTTTTTTAACTTCTATGGAAGTTATGTCATGATTTAACTTTCACAATAATAATCCAGTGAGCGATCAAATTATTACCATTTAGGAACAAAAATCAATTACGGCTTCAGTTCAGCCATTAAAATTTATTAATTTTTTTTTTCATTAATATGATTTTACCGACATATGTATATACATATGAGCATTTCCACAGAATGGTCAACCAGAACCGAGAACTAAAATGAGCAATCATTGTGTGGGAACTCTAAGTTGTAGTAAGTTATAGTGTACCGATTTTGACGGTTTCGAAATGATCAATACATTATAAAAATACACTCGTTTGCCAAATTTCAGTCCGATATCTCGAAAAGTGAGGGTGTAAATTACAGGGACGTGAACCGGATGAAAACTTTGGTCGGTTCGGTTCAGCGGCTCGAACCATTTTGCAATTTTGGATTGGCTCGTCAAAGCCCTTTTTTTAGTCTTTGAACCGGGGTATAGGTTTGATTCAACGGTTCGGAAATCAAAACAAAAATAACTCGCAAGTTTAAGTGTCAAGTACAACAACGCGCAAGGTTTAGTGTCAAGTGTCTGTCAAATGGGATGGGTTTCCTAAACATTTGATATTGCCACATGGTAAACAAACATGGTATGGATTACTATATTTAATAAAAAGAAAAAAGTATGCAATTTTTTATATTGAAAATTGGTTAAAACGAACCTTTAAACCTTTATGAAAAGTGGTTCGGTTTTCGGTTCGGATCAAACATTTGGGGAAACTTTCGGTTCTTTTAATAGTTCAGTGAATTAATAGAAAAAAGCGGTTTTCCGATTCAAAACAGGTTCGATCCAAAATCGGTTCACGTCCCTGCTAAATTGCGTTCAAACAGACAGACAGATGGACTTGGCTAAATTGACTCAGCGCGACGTTTTGTGGGTCTATATCTTCTTCTTTTGGTACTTACAAACATCAGCCCAAATTTATAAGCAGCTTCATTGCGTAAGTCATAAACTAGGCTAAATTGTACGGCTCGACAACATCGGCATTGTCGACTGTCGTGCTGAAATAAGTAAATGACGAAGATCGTCGAAAATTACGTAGTGCTGCCAAGTTTTTCCATTTTAGTAAACTAGTCGAGTGGAAATTTTAGGCAATGACGTGAAATTTTCGATACAATTCGACTCTCGAAAAACTACTTGCATTCCCTTCCATATAAAATGTGGAATGGATTTGAATGAAATTTTGTTTCTTAATGAACTTGAGAGCGATGACTCCAAAAATTCGATTGGGGTTTTGATAACTTTCATACTTCCACTGTAAATGTAGTTTGAAGTACAAAATTTGGGTTCTTGTAGCATTTACATTGGAATGATCATATAGTTCGCTCTATTTTAAAAAGGGAGGTGTCAAATGACAGAGCTTGGCCTGTAGATGTGCAATAAAGTTTTATTTCTTTGAAACGGGTTGCCACCTGCTACAGATTTTATTAAAATTATTTAATAAGTTGAATGAATTAGATATTGCAATATGGGTATCAATTGAAATGGTTTTGAAAATGCTTTACTTCTAAACGAGCGTAGAAATGTTGCCACATGTTTAAAAAATCAAATTCAGTTTAATTAAGGGAATAAGGTAACTGAAATATGTATATCAATATGGATATCAGACACAAGAAAAAGTTGGACATATTTACCAAGAAATAAGTGAAGAGTAGGAAGTATGTATTTGTAATAAAATAACAAATACGATGTCGTAAACCATTGGTTTGGCAGAATTATTATTTTAGTTTAACTAAATTTGACTTTACACACAGGTGGGAACCCTCTTCAAAATATTTGTATACCAATACCAATATTTTAATAATTCATTAAAATTATTAATTAATTTGAATTAAATTTTTTAACAGTTGCCAACTCTATAAAAAAATAAACCGTTATTTTAAATCTACAGATCAAGCTTTTTAATCTGACACCTGGTTTTTGAAAATCGAACGATTCGTGCGTATCCGATGGCACTGACAAGAAGTGAAAAAATTATTTTATGCATTAGCAAAAAACGCATTATTTCTAAAAGTGAAAAAAATGAGCAGCTTTTTATCTTCTATTTTGGAACCTAAAAAACCGTACTATTAAATAAAGTAATAAAAAAAACCTATTTTTACATATATTTTTTATTCATTCCATTAAAAGTGGCCATTTTTGAAATTTTTATTAAAAAAAAAGTTTTTTCTGGAATACCGTAGGGACACCCTGTCTTTAACCTTTTTCCAAAATTTTGTATTCTTATAGTTATCTACTATATATATAGAAATAAACTTCAAACCAAAATTTTATTTCAAGCAATTTGTTGAGTTTAGTGGCTTCCGGGCGGCATATCATTTATTTTATAGGGAGATTTCTGTTTTATTCTTTTTAGTGGATAAATTACCTTTACAAAAATATCAAACACGTTCACATTGCAGACAACGAATTTTTCGATTTATGCCCACTTAGGCGGCACTGTGCGACTCTAGCAATGAGGCTGAATACCATTTCATGTTCATGAAAGGTATAAAAAATGATGAAAAAATCGTACGTTCGCGTCCCAATAAATAAAAACCTAATAAGGATATTTCAACGCTCAATTACTTAGGAGGAAGTTACTTTATTCCGCTTTAAATTAAATGCTTTAGAATATTCTGTTCCATCTTGCAGATCCTTGAATTGTTCAATTTTCAGTCATTATGCGTACGTTCTCGACCGCAAGTTTATTGCTAAAATATTGGAAAATAAAAATCGAAAGATCATCCCTTGTGAACCAAAGATATACCTAGCAAAATGCTATCGAAAAAGAATTAATAAAATATTATTTTTTCCTTGTTTCTTGAACTTCGCGACCGTCGGAAATGCTCATATGAATAGTAAGGATAAGTTATAATATCATTCCAACAACACTTTGAATATTTGCTTGACATTCACGGCAATTGTCAATTTTTGAAGGATTGTCACAGAATTCGCATAATATTACATGACTACAGGGAATAAGTACAATTTCGCACGGAGTTATTTTATAATTTATAAAGACTTTGAGATTTCCAGAATTCGGAAACCCTTGAGGCTCGTCAGAAGTTTTTGCGTTCGAATGTAGAAAACTCGATCAAGTCATCATCCAATTCATCATCAATTTCAATGTCCAATTCGTCATCTTCATGATTTTCTAATTAAGTTTTCCCGATTATCTTTCCTAAAACCTCTTGTAAAAATACCTTCAAGGCCTTATCGATTTCAAAATCCCTTCGAAGAGTTTGTTTTCTTGACCGGTGGCTGATAACCATCATTCATAACTTGCAAAGGTTGGGTAGAAATAGCATCCCCTTCTGAGATTAGAACCGAACGAAAACGAAAGAAACTCCCGGTAATAGGTAAACGTTTTCCCAATGCAGCATGAAGGTACTGGCCAAATGCAGGCTTGCTTTGCTTGCTTCGCTTTGAGAACTGTCAAAAGTCATTTGGAATATTCTAAAACTTATGAGGGGTGGCCAAATGGGAGCTTTGCTTCACTTAATTTAAGTGCCTCAAAGTTTCAAATAGGCAAATGTTTAATTTGAAAGCGTTTTGTAGGCTTTTGACAAAAAGGTATGTTCCCGTTTTAAATAAATTCAAACAAACTGCTGCACACTTTTAAAAATGGTTATATGTTTCCATATCTATATTTAACATGTCGCTGGTTTAAAGGGAAAAGTTGCTAAGTCCATTTTTACAGATTTTACAGGAACTTTAAATACAACATTTAGCGTGTTTAAAGCAAAGCAAAACTCTATACACGGCTACAAATTCCGTTTTCACTTTTAAACTTTTTGGACTACATACATGGCCAAACTAAATTTAGTTGCAAATACACACAGAGCACAGATTAAACAGGTCGGTTTAAATTTTAAACCCAAACATTTTCTATTTCGTTTGCTTCACGTTGTACTTCACGAAAGCTTTTTCATAATTAAGAATAACAATAATATTAAATTTCATGCTCCGTCTGATGGGGATTAAACCCGGACAGCCTCGGTAGCAACCAATTGTATTAAGCATCTTTGCACACTCAGCTACAGCCATGCATGTAAATGTGCTTTCATATGTTCCCTGCAAAAAATGCGACGAGTCCGGGATGTGTCCGGGATGAGTCGCAAAGGAACATGCGACTAATGCCACTTTGCATCCTTTTGTTCGAGCATGTCCTATGAAGAGACTAATTGTACCCTTTTGTACCCGAACGGGTATAAAGTGATGCCCTTCGGGACTAGTCGCCTTTTCTACCCTAAAGGGGGCAGAATGAGACTAGTCGTTGTTTGTGCTTTTAATACCTTTAGTAAAATTTTGTTCCACATAAACATAACAAACACAGTTTAGTTTTTTATTTACTATTTATTGCCATTGATTTATTTTTAGTTTGCTACATATTTCAGTTCTTAATTCATTTATATTGTCTTTATTGATTAATTTTTTTTATAACATTTATTTGCAAAGGTTTTTATTTTTCCGGATTAATTCTGTTGTGTCTAAGTAAATAAATGTTTAATTATTTTTAATGCTAATATAGTTTATCTTACTTAGGTACAAATGAATTAAATCTGGCAAGATCAATGGTGCTATTTTGAAAATACACTACACTACTGGAATTACTTAGTAATCATTACTTTACAGTTGTAATTTAAACCAGATAAAATTCATTTAGGTTCGTACATATTCGCTTGTTTACAGCCTTTTTCAGCAAAAATAGTGGGAGATTCAATAAAATTTTTAAATTATTATTTTTTAGTTAAATTAAAAACTAAGGCACTTCAATTTAGAATTATTTATCCTATCTTACAAGGTACAGGTGGGACTTAAATTAGTTTATTTAATAAGTAGTAACTGTTTTTAAAAGGAGATCACATCTTAAATTCGTTTTAAGAAAAAAAACAACTTATCACATTTGATTAGTACATTAATTTATAATTTAAACTCAAAAAATCACATGCACTTTTAAATTAAAGTAAAATTTTTAAATTAATTTCATTTGTACCATTTAGTTTTAAATTATAAGTTAAAAATGCGTAAATTTATAGTTTTATTTTGGTTTTTGGTTTTTTGTCTATAATTTGTTTAAATGTAAAATGTTTAAATTCATTTCATTTGTACCATTTCGTTTTAAGTTATAAGTTAAAAATACGTTAACTTAAAGATTCATTTTGGTTTGTCAATAACTTTTTTAAAAGTAAAATTTTTAAATTCATTTCATTTGAACTATTTCGTTTTAAGTTATAAGTTAAAAATAAAATCCATTTCATTTATCCATTTCGTCTTAGGTTATAAGTTAAAAATCCCTTAATTTAAGGTATCATTTTGGTTTTTTGTCTATATATATTTTTTAAATGTTTTGATTTCTCAAATTGCAAGGCTTTCCTTAGAGACTCTTCTGGCGTCAATCCTTTCAAAGGCAACTTCGCTATAGCTCCTGAAAGTTTAAATATAAAATTTAACTAAATCAGTTTATGAGTTAAAAAAAAAAATTCTTTAATACCTGTAAGCGTGTGGTAAAAGTTTTTAAAAGATTTGAGTCCAACTTTACCATGCGATCCATCGACATTTATTGCATTAATAACATCACTCCTTATGCCAGTGTTATATTTTTTAGGTTAAATTGAAGTATAGAAGAAATGGCAGTTTCCTGAAAAAATGGTAGAAGTGAACGCCGTTATTAATAAAAAAAAAATTAATGTGTTTTAAAATATATACATACATAGACATCTCTATTGTTATCTTATTTTCCAACTGCTGCATTTCTGATATGTTACATATCGGGAAGTATTTTACAACTGGTGCCTTCTGTGATTCTTGGCGAACCAGTTGCTCAGTAGCCACGTTCTGCCCAGCTATTGCATCCATAATTGCAGCGTTCTGAGTTTCCACTACCCTTTGAAGCTTGTCGACCTTGGCATTCAATGATTCTAGTTGTTTTTGGAAGATTTCGCAGTGACTGCAGCACACAACTTCATACACATCTTGGTTGGACTCTGCAAATTGACACACTTATCCTACGTGATTCTGAAAAATAAAACGAAATGTATAATGCATTTGTATGTATGTATGTATGTCTATTTAAAAAAAAATTAATTACCTATAGTGTATTCACTGGATAAACTGACTCGCCTTGAACCGCATTGCTCGAAGTTGTTTTCGTCAGTCGTATCTACTTGTAGAACAATTTTAGTTTTTAAACGGTATCTACATATAATATGTACTCGCAGTGAAAAGTTTATACTTACAATTTGCCTTTTTAACTGGGATTGACGCCGTGCTGGTATTTCGCGCTCCATATTTTTTGAAAAGTAGCTCAAAAAGAAAAAAA